AAGCCACTCAAGATAGGAAGCTGAAACTTTGCGGTGAGATGCTCCGTCCCTGTTTTCTCTCCATCTATAATCTAAAAATTTCAAATTCAGCTGTCACGTACTCTTATGCTTCGCGCAAACAACGTTAAAGTTTGTCATCGGGCCCACACCAATTGGGGAATGTGCTGAAGAAGAAAGCAATAATTTTGTGGCAACATTTACTTTTTGTCTATATGGAGGCCCGATCATACTTACAATTTTAAACTGCACATACGTCATGCGTAGGAGCACGTCGAAGATATTTGTATCAAAGAAGTGATTTCTGGAACCAAGTAAATTTGGAGAGCTGAAATTTTACGGAGAGAAAAGAACCCCTCTTTCCCTCTAAACGAAAGAAAAAGCCAAAAGCATTTCGAGCACGAGCGCACATATACAACAGTAAATAAAGCAACAACCATTCACATCGTTAACGATTTCATTGATTCAGTGTTTTTTTTTTTTTTTTTTTGCATAAAAACGCATAGTCGCACCGGCAGCACTGGTGCACATTACTGCCTGGGTTATATTTTACACATACATGAAGACTTATACGGATGAGATATGTGTGTTTTTTTGTTTCTATTGTAATTTTAATTTTAGATGATGTATGTTTATGTAAAAAGTAAGGGTTAAAAGTTTGTTTCTATATATAAATAAGTGTTTTGCTACCCGTTTCCAATTTCATGAGCAAGTCAATTATAAAAAAGGAGTTTTTATTAGTCTGTGAAAATGGTTAATGTATCACTGGAGGGGCAACTCTAGGAAGCATTTAAAGTGCTGTTTTAGCAATATGCTATGCTATTTCAACTTGTGCCGAAATACTGTGTAAAAGACCTATCGCGGCCGAATTTCAGGTGCCGTCACCGCCCGATGATACAGTTGAAGCATTGAAGTTCAATCCACAGATTGCTGGACAACCGGTATTGCTGTGTTCCGGTAGCTGGGATTCTGTGATTCGTGTCTGGCAAGTCAGTGAAAACGGCCAGTGTGAGGCAAAAGCGCAACAGAATGTTCCGGGGCCAGTGATGAGTCTTGATTGGCTTGACGTGAGCTCGTTTTGATTTTGCTGTGAAAGAACCAGTCATATTATAATTGGGACTAGATTAAGCGTTGTTAGAAAAATTCTATAGCATTGAGAGGCTACATTTGCAATACTTTAATTGAAAAAATTTGTATTTGTAGCTTTTGTTCTTCGTAAATTGTAAAGTCGGCTGGCTTGAAAGTCGGCTTGCCTCTCAGGTCAGTATTAGCAGTGTTACCACTACTCTAGTAGCCCTAAGTGGGAATTCGTCGCGGCCTTTTTTCCAATATAAATCTTTTGATTCTTCGCGACTCTCCTGATAATATTACTATAAATTTTAATTACAGTTTAAACTGATTTTTCATTCCGTTGGCCATACTTCCCCAATTTGCAAGCAGTTTCATACTTACCACAGCTTAAGTGATTGTCACT